AATGAAAAACTAAATTTTTCTAAAACAAAAATGTATTATAATTCCCGCAATAAAAAAAACCCCATATGATTTCCATCAGAAGGAATCTCAAGCTAAAATGGGCTCATTTCTACAGAGTAGCATTTGAAAAGCCCTTTTATGTTAAATTGTATATTGAATAAGGGTTAACTAAGAATGATACATAGGTCCCTAGCTGTGGCACTTTGAGTCATCGAGATGCACCACTGGAAAGCAAGGATGCTATGATATTGGTACAGACCACAATGCCCCATCAACAAAGTGAGGGAGCAGCGGGTCCACACAACACTCTCAGAAAGTGTGCTCAGGGCTCAAGAAGGGGGCCCCAAACTGGCACCCTGCCTAGGGCTCTGGGTAACCTTAATCCACCTTTGCTTGTGGATATGGACAAGGAACAAGGACACCACAATTAGATTAGTTACCTCGCATGCCCTTTCCGAGATCTCATCTTCATTAAGATGCCATTTTAGATGCCATTTAGACAAACCAAACTAAAATACCATAAGAGTCAGCCAAACAGCTCCCAGAGGCTCAGATTAGATTAAATCTGTCTATTTAGTTAAAATTTGCTACGAAGGATACATTGTTCACTACAAAGAGTTGAAATGTAATAGTATATTGCTAAAAGGCTCATACTCCTAAATATACATAAAGACACACTGCAGAAACAGCAATCAATCTGCAACAACATCTAACCTTTCCCACAATAGACTATATAATCTAAAGTACTGGTAAAAAGTAGTGCTACTGCTAAAAAAAAAGTTTAAAAAGCTAAATGTAAGAAAAATAAATAAAAATGTTAAACAAATTTTTTTTATATAAAATAATAATGATTAAGAAGGTTTTTATGTTTTCTTTTTTCTATTGACTTAGGTTAAAAAGGGGAATTCATGTGCAGTATATAAGTACACATTTCCCATTTTATAACAAAATAATATGTGCTCTTTCAAGATTAACTCACTTACCTTTGTTTATTTTTACTTGTCAGATTAAAAAAAAAAAAAAAAAAAACTACCAGAAGCACTCTTATAGAGTATTGCAGGCCCTATTTAAGACATTACAGGCATCTAGAGTATAGATAGCCCTGTCAAGTGGATTAATAATTAAGGGGCTTATATTGTGGCAGGCATAATGTATGCTCATATACTGTAACTAAATCTCCACTATTTTCACCTCAGTCAGGTGTTTTTAAATGTTTATATGCTTTAAAGTTAGTTTGAAGAAGGATGCATTAAATTTGTTATGTTGTATTAGTGCATGTTTTAGTTTTCTGTTTATTTATGTGTGTGTGTGTGTGTGTGTGTGTGTGTGTATGTGTGTGTGTGTGTTTGCACAGGTAACAATACTCCATGTATATATTTTAGATTATAAATAATTCAAGAATTTAATTCATTGTGTTTTCTTTTTTGTTAAGCAGCATTAGATTTTACTTATAAAACAAAATCAAAATACCTGGGTTAAGCATGTGCACGTGGTTGTAGAGTGCACAGGGAAGTCACAATTTCAGATCTAGTTGTGGAGAGTTGGTTTTTAGATGGTCAATGAGAAATTTCAAATTTTCACAAATTCTAATTTCTGGTAAACAAAAGTAATTTTGGGGCACATTTAGAACATGTATTTCTCAGAAATGATACTGCTGTAGAAGTCAAAATGTATATACAATACAGATTAAAGAGCAGCATGCACACAAAAATACAGTTTTACATTTTACAAGGTGACTAAGAATCACCTATCTCAGTAAACAAGTATAATTAATGCTAGTGTTAAACAAACTAAAGTGTATGTAATGAATTTGTTGTAAGAGCATTGTAAATACATCATGCTAAATTAATGTGATCACAATACAATTCAAAAAGATACCGTGCCAAAGTAAACAGTTAAAGTGATAGCAGTTTGATGTATATACTCACAATGCATACCATATACCTACTCTATATCAAATGAAAAATGAATATCAAAGTGGCATTGCTATCTTAAATCTCCTCAAATGTATACTTTCCTGCATCCACCTTCAAAGGGGCATCTGAAGCTGGGGGCAGGGAGCTCAACCCAAAAGTAATATGGCCTGGACCCCAAGCATACATAGTAGTGGGGGCACACCTGGAATATGCAGTTCTCAGCAATGGTGCTACTGAAGAGCGCAAATGTAATACAAAATTCAAATTAAGAAACAGTCCACCACAAAAATACAGTTTTACTTAAAATCACCTATCTCAGTAAGATTTTAAGTAGCCTTGTAAGATTTAAAACTGTAAATTGTAATTTCTGGGCTGTTCTGACTAGTTGAGTCTTTAACCTTTGAGTGAAAATTAGAAATACCCGCTCAGTGGTTTTCAGGCCTGAACTGCTACATTACAATTGCTATCAGGGTGTGTACCTCTAAAATATTGGATTGTGCATTATTTAAGTGAACAGTAAACGAGATTTATATAATTTTGTATGAATCTTCGTAATGATAATTATGATCAAAGTTTGACTGTTCACAAATAGATATTTTTTAGGTAGATTTTATTGGAAAACCATACAACATTTTGGCTCCCCTAGAAGCCCTTATTACGCTTATAAGCTTGATAAAAGCTCCTGCGGGAGCCAAAACATGATTTTCTTTTCCAATAAAAATCGACGTGTTCCCAGTCCAACTTTCTTCATGATTATTAATACATTGGGAATGCCCCATCCTGGCCAGGAGACACTAAAGATGGAAACTTTAGCAAATGACACGTCACTATATGCATATTGCATTGGGTCTTGCTAGAATCATTATTTCCCAATCATTTCAATGTAAAAATCTACTTCCCCAGCAAGAAAATGTTTTTCCCTGCAACATATAGCTTACAGGACCTATGAGACTCAGATCTCTGCATCTAGACAATATGAAACAATGTATATTTATATGGGGAGGGCTTACATCTTTTGGGCAAGGGGTAAGTACAAATGTCTGTGTATATGGTCCTATCTATGTAGTGCATGCAATATATGGATCTTTGGGATGGCTGTTGCAGGAGTCCCTATATATCTCTACTCTACAACCTTCATTCATGTGGGTTGCACAGTTTGAGGGAGCAGTTGTAGAGATCTGTTCTTGTATAAAAGACACAGACTGTTTCCACTGACGTAATTGCCACAACCTAAGAGTATGATAATTCTCTTGGGTCACCTTACAACCTCTTGTAAAAATAAAAACTCATTATTATACATTCTGTACGGCAGCCTGGTCAGACCCAGGTACTCTTAGGAAATATACTAGTTGACCAGTTCAACTCTTTTGAATATTTATATTACCACAAATACACAGATTGCTGGGCCAACAAAGGCCCCCTTGCCAGCCCTCCATGTGTATATAGAGCACTGACAAGGAATGCACATAGTTTTCTTTGTGTTGGACATGCAGGGCTGGATTTCCCATAAGGCCACGGCCTCAGTGTGACACATGGGAGAGGGGCAGAACTGCAGGAACCCTGCATTATTGTTGATATAGAAGGAGTGCTCGGGTGATAAGGTGAATAGCTCTTTCCTCTTCTCGCCTGGCACCCATGGTGGCAGGTCCACTCTCCCCACAGGCAGTCGAAGGAAATGCAAAGGAGAACACAGAGATGTCACCAGTATCATAACTCTGCCTCACCTCCTATATCCCTGACTGCCTGTGATTACTGCTGAAGCCCCAAAACCACTGGCCAAGTGGGTGCATTAGAAGTCAGCTATACTTTCAGTTAGGCTACATTGGCCTTAACAAGGGGAGGAGGTAAGAGAACAAGAGAACAACTGGAAAAGGGGTAGGGAACATAAGGGGAGAACAAGTGATTGAGAGGGGAAATTAGAGGTGGACAAATGATGGATGGGGAAATGAGAACAGTTGTGTGAAGCAGAGGTACAGAAGTGTAGAAAGGTGATTTAAGAATGAGAAAGGGTATCGGGAAAAAGGAGAGTTACATGTGTGAGCTGGGGAAAGAAGAGGGGAACAAGTAAAGGTAGAAAGAGAAGAGGAAAACAATTTGAGAAAGGAGGGTTATGGGGATAAAAGGGGAGAGAAATACATATGAGGGGAAGATACATTAATAGAAGGTGATGGAGAGACATAAAGAGGAACAGATAGGATTTGGAAAAACGTTGAACAAACACACCTATAAACTGAAATGTCACACATATTATCCTGCATGCACACATTAGCACTCTACACAAATACACCCATCATTCATATGCACTACCTAACTCTTCGGGAAAAAAAAAATGCTCCTACATACACTTTGCCAGTCAGCCACCAAACTAGTCACATACACCAAACCGATCATATTCCCACATCCACTTGATCAGTTAGTCCCATATCACCTCCCAGTTATACCCACTCACCCTGTAACATGTATACACTTAGTCACATAACATGTAATCTACCCTTCACCTTGCACTTATCTTCATCCAACCACCCACCTAGTCCTATTCACCTCAGTTGCACCCTGCACTCATGAATGTAAGTACATTCATCCATCCAATCACATACTCCAAACTACTTACATTCATCCATCCAATCCCATACCCCAAACTACTCACATTCATCCATCCAATCACATTCCCCAAGCCTCATAGATATGACACAATGGTGCACATTGAGGAAGCTGAACAGCAGAGAGGGTAAATCCAGCACTGGGCAAATGCATGCTAATTTACATATACATATACATATACATATTGAATACTCAATTTTTATCGCAATATATTGGTAAAGAATATGTTACTTTGCAGATAACTTTCAGTATCATGCTGTGTTTTTCTCTAGGTAACCGTTTCCGTGCAGCAAAGGTGTTTGGTGCACAGACGTTTTCCAGCTACTCCACTGACCCGTGCAAGAAGTACCAGCAGTCCATGCCGTTGTTTAGTGGGTATGAATCCATCTACTGCTCGTGCATCCTCTAGTGACATTCAGAAATCTGTAGATCATAGAGACAATGTGAACTGGAACTTAAAAGCTGGGTCTGCAAGTCATTTGTATCCGATGCATTCACGAAAGATTAATTACAATGAAAGCAGAGATAGAGCTTTTCAAATAGACAATTAAACCATTTGTTGGAGATGAAGAAAACATGTGCATTTTGAATATTATGTTTTTTATTATTATTATTTCAGTCTGCTGGATCTCCCTCTTAAAATATATATTTAAACTCCTGTCTTAAGAATTCCTGCTTTAAAATGGATGCTCAGAATATTCAACGTTAGTTCTGCGGATATGTATTCTTTACTCTAAATGTGTCTATACTTATTACACAAACGCACACAAAATGATTAAATTTGTAATTTAGAATATATTGTTGTGGAAATATTTGATCCTTGAAGGATTATGTTATTTCAATTTAAACATTTCACTGAAATGAGAAATCATGTATTCATGTCAACAAACTGTAAAAACATTTTATTTTAAAATATTATTTTCCATTAAATTAGTCTGAACTGTATGGTTCTACATTAATGCTTTGTGATTTGGGCTACAAAAGCAAACCAGTATAGCATATGCTCATGTTTTTCTTGATATTCACTTTCCAACATATTGGGGGATTACTTGACGTTTCTTAATAAGCGCGTAAAATGCCACCAATATAAACAATGACTAGATTCCAATAAGATACAGTGATACAAACAGGGTAATTCACGAAAGAGAGAATTGTTGGGAATTCAATGTACATTTCAAATCTAAGGCCAAAATAGCTGAACGGAAAACACATATTTAAGTCAGCTTTCAGTTAGGCTATATTGGCCTTAAATTAGAAATACATTTTCATTTATTTATTTTTCTACTTTAATTCCCAGCAATTCTCACTTTGATGAATAACAATGAAAGTCATTACACAAGCAGAAATTATTTACTTGAAGACATTCAGTATAACTTGAATTTTTTTTTTTAAATGCAGCTAAATAGATACTAAATGTAATGTGTAAATTTAATTTATTGTATTTGATGGTCATTTTTATGCATATTATATTTGTAATTTAAATTTTATATAGTATCCTTATATTATACACAACAGCTCACTCTAAGTGGAAAGCACATGCATGGTTTAAACGCTCAAGATACACAATCGATTTATAGATCGCAACATAACAAGGAGAAGAAAATGTATCAGGAGAAGGAAAGGGAAAGGTTGAGCATGTAAATAAGGACTCCAATAATAGTGCAATATGTGGTAATTTAGTATGATTTTTTTCAGACAACTGTAAAGTGAATGATACTGAGAGGGTATATAGTAAGACATTCTATGCAGAGTGTAAACACATATTAATAAACACATATTGCCTGAAAAATAACATAACAAGTATAGATGTAAACATTAACAAATGGTTAAGTACACTTGTAACTTAAAGGGCACTATAGCCACCAGAACAACTACAGCTTATTATATTTGTATTTGTTCTGGTGAGTATAGTCAGTCCCTGCAAGCTTTTTGCTGTAAACACTATCTTTTCAGAGAAAAGGCAGTGTTTACATCAGAACCTAGAAAAACCTCTAGTGGCCACTCCTCAAATGACTACTAGAGGTGCTTCCTAGGGCAGTGGATGCACATTATGAAGCAATGACATTCAGCGTCTCCATTCTCCGAAATTTCGCTATAGAGAGGCATTGGTTCAATGCATCTCTATGAGGAGATGCTGTTTGGCCAGGGTGGCAAATGGACCCCGGTTCTCTTTCCTCCCTCCCCCAGTCTGCCTACTTGTCTGAGGTCATCAGAATTGACAATCTCAGCATATCTAATATTTTCCTATGAGAAACCACTGTAATTGGCTGAGATCATCAATTCTGATGATGTCAGCCAAGGAGGTGGATGGGACTCAGAGCTCAGGGCCTTGTAATGACTTCTAATTAAGCTGCATTGGGAAGTCTTTGTGTGGACAGCCAGAGAAGGTCTAGACTTGAAAAGAAGGGAAGGCTTTTGCAACCTGTAATTAAATATGCCACAATCAAAAATGCATAATTGAATAATTGTGTGCTTTCATTGGGAGTATATTTACAAAACCTTAATTAAATTCCTTCCTTCCCAAGGGGAGAAAATAAACTATGTACAGAATAACTTTATTGAGTTGATGTTTAAAAAGTGTTCAAGTGTTTTGTGCAATTTACAGACTTAAGACTGCTCTCTCTTTAAAAGGAATATTATAGTGTTAGGAATACAAAGCTGACCCTCTGCCTCTGCTCCTCCCCCCCAGGAAATCAAAGGGTAAAAATGCATTTAAACACTTACCTGACTCTGTGTCTCTGAACCTCCTCTGACATAATTGTGAGGGAGAACCTATGAGTATGGCTAGTACTGCACACATTATGCCTTCCCCATTGGAAAGTATTGAATCAATGCTTTCCTGTGGAGATTTTCAAGATGCTGGACATCCTCATACAAATAGTGAGGCCATCCAGCATTGTTTAAACTCCATAAAAAGCCAGGAAGCACCTCTAATGGCTGCCCATTAGAGGCCACTAGAGGCAGTCTTAACACGGCAATGGAAACATTGCAGTTTCTCTAAAACTGTACATTTTTCAGCTGCAGCTTTAAGGGGACAGGGACACTACACCTAAACCACTTCAATGAAATAAAGTGGTCTGGGTGTCTATAATGTTCCTTTATCTTCTAGAGGTAAGTATACCACAATTCAGGAAAAATGGGTAAGCAAAAAGATCTGAGTGACTTTGACAAGGTAGATAACTGAATCAGAGCATCTCCAAAATAGCAAGTCTTGTGGGGTGTTCCCAGTATGCAGTTACCTACCAAAAGTGGTGCAAACACAACTCAGGGTCATGGGGACCCACAAGTCATTGATGCACTGGGGAGTGAAGCCTAGCCTCTCTGGTCTGATCACTTGGAATAACTACTGTAGCTCACCTAGGCCAGGATGCACTACAGGAAGAAGGCAGGCCAGTAGAGGCAGTGTCATGCTCTAATCAATGTTCTGCTAGTAAATCTTGGGTCCCAGCATTCATATGGATGTTACTTGGACATGTACCACCTACCTACCTACCACCTAACCTCCAAATTCCTTAGATCTCAATCCGATTGAGCATCTGTGGGTTGTGCTGGAATAACATATTCGATCAATGGAAGCCCTACCTTGCAACTTACAGGACTTAAGGGTTCTGCTGCTAATGTCTTGGTGTTAAATACCACAGGGCACATTCAGAGGTCTTGGGGATTCCATGCCTCAACGCATCAGAACTGTTTTGGTAGCATGAGGGGGACCTTCAAGATACTTGACAGTGGTCTTAATATTTAGGCTGATCAGTGTATCTTATAAAGGTTATAGGCACCACTCCTTTGGCAGTACAGCAGATCCTTGTACAAACGTACAAAATTAAGCCCTGCACTCAAACTCCCACTACTCCTGGGCGGCAGCAATGACTATAGTAAACATCAGCCCCAATACATACAATAAAAACCAAAGAAAACAATTACCTGCATCCTATCCAAAACCTCTATGCACATTTAAATAACTGGAGTTTTTATTAGTATACTCCAGTGGCCTTTAACCCCTTAAGGACCAAACTTCTGGAATAAAAGGGAATCATGACATGTCACACATGTCATGTGTCCTTAAGGGGTTAAAGTGTAAGCTCACCTGCTGCATCTAGGCAAAACATCTTAACTCTAACAATGCAACTTGCTGTTTTCAGCCAAACAGTAAAATCTCTAATGAGACAAAGAGGGGTATTTTTTGTAAACCCCTACACACTTTTTTTTCCCCTTTGGTTTTTGATTTGTATAGCAGAGTCTTGTGTTTGATGATCTGAGCTAGTGACCTTGGTACATTACAAATCCAATCCCAGTTCCAGCATTTTAGCTCTTGATTGGAGTTGTTATAGCCTAAGCTTGGTTGGGTATACCTGTAACCACAAAGGATAAAACTGGAGCTGCTGGATTGTATGCTCACTGATACTGGCAGCTCCACTTGCTAATTGAACTGAATAAATATAGGACCTTTAATTAATTTGAGATCTGTTCTAGCAAAGAATATATTGGTTTCTCTAGTGGTTCTGACACCAGTTTGCTGGCAGTGAAGCCAGCATGTTAGCATCAGCACAGAGGATTGCCAAGCTTAGGAATGTGGTCCCAATGAGGGCCAATCACTCCACACTCAAAAACAAGCCAAACCCCATGTACATTCATGCTTAGCCACCCACACACAATCACACTAGGGGTTCGTATTTGCAGAAAAGGGAGCAGAATCTATTTTTTTCCCTGTTACTGTACTTAAACATGATACTGTACGGTTACATTGTAGGATGTCACTTGTTTTACATAGTAACCTACTGGAGTCCACAACAGAATGCAAGGCTAACTATTAGTTCTCACTAATACATTTCAAATTCTAAAATGAATAAAACCCATAATTGTCATGCTTAGGGATGTGACTCCAAACAGGGCCAATCATTCCACACTCACATGCATGCTCAGCCAGCCACACACACACATACACTAACAAAGTCTGCTAACTCAATACATACATGCCATATGTATGTTGCTTAGAAGGAGCAAGGAGGGATGGTAAAGGGGTCCCCTCAGTGATTCTTGAGCAGGGGCCCTATGATTCCTAATTATGGCCCTGGGTCTGAGGTTCTGTAAATTTCACAAAACATTTTAACACTTTATTAACATAATTTCAATAAAAATTTTATGTACAAAGTTTGTTATCTTTTATTTTTTTGTTGTTATACTAAAGGAGTTTGTCTCTTTTAGTCTCTTGATCCCTTTATGACAGAAGAAATTAAATATATGATTATTAATTTGTTTGGGTATAGTCCTGATGCCCAAATAAAGGGGGTTAGTGTCAGTAATCCTAACATAGATATTTATATTTGCTAACTTCTGTGGTATAGTTACTAAGCCCTGATTTACTATTTGTGTAGTGGATTGTCCCTTCAATAGCTATTTAGAAACTCAGGCAGGTTTATTTACTAAAACAATTATTCTAGCGAATTCAAAGTGAATTTCAAACATAAGGCCAGAATAGCAAAAGGGATATAGTAGCTGACTTAGGGATTTTTTCCACTTTAGTTATTTTGACTTTAAATGGGAAATTCACTTTTAATTCACTTTGAAGTCTCACTTTAGTAAATAAACCTATGAGTGTATTTCTGTTGTTTTTATCATAAACCTGGATCAGGGGCATACCTGGAGCAGATGGCACCCCTATCCCTCCCCTCCCCCCCAACTTTAAAATGTAAAAAAACAACAGAATTTATTTTTTTGTATTTAGCACTAAGCAGTGTTTCTGTGTTTATGAGTGTAAGCATGTTTTTGCATGGAGTATGTGTAAGTGAATGTAGTGGGTGTGTTTGTATTTGGTGTTGGCGTTTGAATGCAGGCATGCATTTTTATGTAGTGTGGTTTTTGAATGCAGTGGTGTGGTTATATATAATGGTGGGGTTTGTATGTAGTGTGTCGTTGAAATGCAGGGATGTATTTGTGTGTAGTGTTAGCGAGATTCTGAAATGCATGCACGTAAACACATACACACACGTATATACATACTGACACACATGCAGATACATAGACACACAGTGACACAAAGACACACGTGCAGACACAGTGGCGACTCTAGGAACAATATTGGGGGCACTACAAAACTGGGGGAGGGGTCACTAAAACCTTTCACTGGGGAATTGGGCAATGTGTGGCCATTGGCTGCCTGATGCAATGCACGTTGGCATCAGTCACCAAATTTGCATATAATTCACATTAGCCATCCAGATTTCTTGTTGTGGGCTGGCTGACACCTCTCAACTTCGATCTTTGTTTATCAGATAACTCCCCTATTTGCTATCCTTATGTGGGATTGCCATATTTAAGGACACCAAATAAGGGAGCTATCTGCTAAACCCTAATTTGGTATATTCAAATATGGAAATCTCACACAAGGGCACCAATTTAGGGAATTATATACTAAACAGCTAAAAGATCAAAGTTAAAAAAGCCCTTTTCTTAATTTCAGTTATTTAGTAGATAACTTACTTATTTGTTATCCTTAAGTGGAATTGCAATATTTAAGAACACCAAATAAGGAAGCTATCTACCAAACACATATACATTTATATTCACACACAATAGGTGTATGTCTGTGTGTGTAGATCTGTGGTTGTGTGTGTATGTATACACACTTAACCACAGAGATAAATACAAAATCACACACATAAACACAGACATATACAAACACAATCACAGACTCACACACATACAATCAATCACATACACACATAATTAGATATACACACACACAAACATCACATACAAACACGTCACATCCACCCAGCCTCCCTACTTTGCTCTGGGATGGCTGGAGTGGATCCTCAATCCCAGGTGGTCAGTGGTTGCTGCTGGGATCTATGTGCTCTTCCTGCCCAGGTCCCTTGCACACACTGTAATAATGCTGATGCCAGGATGACGTTACATGCAGGCTCACTGCAGGGTGAAGACAGTCAGACATGGTCAGATGCACACAGTTATACACATATACTGTCAAATACAGCCACATGCACACAGTCCCAGACACATAGTCACTCTCACACACAGTCAAACACACAGTTATAGGCAGACATTCACACACAAACAGTTGCAGACAGACAGTCACATGCACACAGAGTAATAGACAGTCACACGCACACAGCTACAGGTAGACAGTCACACACACAGGCACAAGCATACAGTCACAGAGGCAGTCACAGGAAGACAGTAACACACACAGGCAGACAGTCACAGACACAGTCACAGGTAGACAGCCACACACAAGCAGACAGTCACAGACACAGTCACAGGCAGACAGTCTCACACACACACACAGTCACAGGCAGACAGTCACACACACTGTCACACACACAGTCGCAATCAGATAATCACAGACACAGTCACAGACAGACAGTCACACACATACACAGTCACAGGCAGCCACACATAGTCACAGGTAGACAGTCACATACACAGTCAAAGACTGTCACAATCCCGGTTACAAACACTATGGAGGAGTGGAGTCAGTGAAGTCCATGGTGTGCAGTTGTTGGGGGAAGCAGTGACTCCTTCCTGCTTCCCATCAGTATGCTGCAGAAAGAGCAGAGAATGGAGGCTACCTTTACTTCTGCCCCTGCATCCGGGTTGGCTCCACCCCCATGATCCATTTAGCTCTGCCCCCAATGATCCATGAAGTTCTCCTGCTGTTCTCCCATCGGCCCCTGCATGTGTGAGCTGTGTTGGCTGCCCGGCGCCCTGTGCAGCTACACAGCTCCAGAACCCCAAGTCTGGCCAGCCCTGGTGGCGCCCCCTACCTTGTGGCACCTGAGGCAGACTGCCCCCCTTTAGAGACAGAGAATGGTCAAGGAAGCCAGAAATACACAATACCGTTAATAGAATAGATCATAAGCTTTTCCTTAAAATGTATGTCAAACACCTCACCCCACATTTCAAGGATCAAATATGGCATTCCGTCTAATTTGGCCATAAAATGCATGCACACATGTAAGTGCAAAGTTTTAGAGTGCAGTTATGCTATGTCTTCACTCACTGCATTCTTATGTTAAGATTCAGGGTTTTAAATGTACATAGTGGTTTGCTGTTTTAAAAAAAGTTGATTCCAACGGGGTTATTCACGATATGAGAATTGTGGAGAATTCAAAGTGAATTTCAAATTTAAGATCAAATTAGCCGAACTGGAAGCAAAGATGATTTGGAGATTTTTTCCAATTTGGCTATTTTAGCCTTCAATATGAAATTCACAATTCTCATTTTAGTGAACAACCTTGTAAGTATCTCACAATGCAATTGGAATGGTGTCAAGATAGTCTAAGAAGTGCAGAGAAGATTCCAGAATCCAAGCATGTTTGTCAAGTCAGAGGTGAATGTAGAGTATTCAGGTGTAAAGATAAGCATTTCAGGTATGTAGTTAGATAACCAACCATTTTGGACATTAAATATGTAAGTCATATGAGTTTATTCACTAAATTGCAAAATGTGAATTGAAAACCAAATTAGTAGAGTTTAAGAGATTTTGCTAACATTTTCCAAAGTCACAACTTTGACTATTTTGCAGTACAGTTTTCAATTCACAACTACAAACGTTTTTTGTGTGAATATATTCCCTATTATAGCAGCTGTAAAATATACCATAATATTTTTGTATTACAAGTAAACCAAATGTACCCATTGTAGACTATAATAATCAGTGAATTAATTTACTGAAACCATAAAGGTGTGATCTGTATGAAAAAAGTACTAGATACAAAAAACAAATGTTCAAAGAACTTTAGTCAGTGGAGAAGAGAAAATGGGTTTTATGAATATTTTATAGATAATTAAAAAATATTTAAGTGTATATTGATGTTCATGAGTTATTTGGATTTATTTAATGATTTTGTATTTGTTTAAAGTTTTTCAAGTTATTTTTTTGTTTCTATTTATTTATATCATATGTTTTGTAATTTAATGTTTGTTGTTTTTTTTTACTTTTTTAACATAAGTTATCACCTATTTTTTTTTTATTTTTTTTTATTGGTGCCATATAATATTAGTTTATATTTAGTTATACTTTATAGCCCACGAATTAACGTGTTTGCAATGATTATTGTTATCTTCTATTTCATATTATTACATCACACCATACCATTTGTTATACCATATAGCAGCATTAAATATGTTACAAACTATGTGTAGACATTAAACTTTGAAACTAAAAAAAAAATCTTTTTTTCATTTTTTTTTTATTGTACATATTTCTGACTGACAGCCTACACATGGAAAAACTATGACTGTGTTTATCTACAAAGGGACATCTTTTGAAATAAGAAAGGTAATGAGGTTAGAAGAGGGTGAAAATGTTGTCCGTTTAATATGACATATGCAACTGCCTTGAATCTATATTTAAAAGCCTTCTTTGTGTATATTGATGGTCAAGTCTTGCTCTTTGAGACTTAAAAAAGGGTGGGGGTAGAGCCGAGCCAGCAATGGTAGCAGACATGTGAGATCTGAACTCCCTCTCCCCTGAGTTTTGAATTTGCTAACATCAGCAATAAAAAGAGAGCATTCATCCTTAAAACATACCTCCCCCGACAAGACAAAGTCGACCCTTCATCCCTGCACCATGGGAGACACAAAAAAGTGCAAGGAGCATACCCATCGGTAACCATGCTCTTTCGCAACCGGGAGAAGGGGTGGCCATCTTTCTCCCATGGCCTACCTGACACAAGCTCCAACAGCAAGGACAGTGAAGCACCTGTTGACCCTGTAGCTCCATTAACCAGGGGGAACCTGCAAAGATTGCTGAAAGAAACCTCAGCTGACATCAAGGCTTACACGGTCTCCGAGCTAAAAAAGCACATTGCAGGCATGAGAGGCGACATTGAAGCCCTCTCCACTCGCACCTGTCAGGCTGAAACCTGCATTACAGGCCACACACTACAAGGGCCCAACAACAATAGATATATGCCATGCAAGACCTGATCCTGCAGCTAGAAACCGGGTTGGAGGACTTAAATATTAGATCACGCAGGCACAACATAAGGATTCAGGGCTTACCTGAAACCGTTACGCCGGACGACATTTTACCAAGGATCATGGAATTAATTCCGATCCCTTTTGCCTGATTCCTGTCACGACTGCTAGTGTGGTCCAGCCCACAGAATAATGTAACATCTACATAGACAGAACAGAAAGGATAGAACGTATACTGGTTGTTAGAATGGCCAGATTAATATGTAGAGACAGAGAATGGTCAAGGAAGCCAGAAATACACAATACCGTTAAACAAGCCAAGTCAGGGATCCAGAAATCAGAGTAGTCAGGAATAGCAAAGGTCAAAATACCTGGAATAGCAATAACAGGAATAGTCATCGATGGCCGCGACCGCATGGTTGGCGCCATCTTTGTTTTGGGCAAGCTGCCAGGAAGATCCGGAGGAGCGGCTCTCGACTCGCCGCTGAGCAGGTAAGCTCAGTCTGTCGGTGCGGTCGTGCCGGTCGGGCACAAACATGCTTCGTGGCGAGCCGGGAACCGTGACAGTACCCAACACTCAAAGAAGCCGGCTTGTAAGGAAAGCGGTTGTGAAATGACCGGACAAGACGGGGAGCATGAACCTGGTCAGCAGGAACCCAGCTTCGCTCCTCCGGGCCATACTCCTTCCAGTCAACCAAATAAGACAAAACATCCCTGGAAATCTTGGAATCCAATATAGAGCGAACTTCGTATTCCTCTTGTCCACGCACCAGTAAAGGCGGAGGAGGAGCGACCAGTTTCGTGTATCGATTACAAGTGAGAGGCTTAAGCAGAGACACATGGAACGTATTAGCAATTCTCATGTGCGCAGGGAGCGCCAAAGAATATGTCACGGGGTTAATACGTCGAAGGACATGATAAGGCCCCATGTATTGAGAAGACAGTTTAATTGAAGGCACTTTGAGCTCCCACTTGAAAGACAGGATTGGCACCACACCGCTTGTCAGCCTGGACTTTAGTACGTCTAGAGGCTGCTTGTAATGCCACATGCACCGAAGCCCACGTGTCTCGGACAGAAGCTAATATCAGGAATATCAGTGCCCAAAAAATCAGAAGGCAATACAGTGGGGTAATAACCATTATTTACAAAAAAAAAAGGGGCTATGATTGGAGGATTTATGAGTCGCAATTTTTCGGGCAAATTCACCCATGGGCAGGAGTTCAGACCAGTTTGACTGACTGACATCAATAAAACAACGTAAATAGGATTCTAAGGCCTGATTGGCTTTCTCTGCTGCACCATTGGTCTGAGGGTGATACAAAGAGGAAAATGAAAGTTCTATGTCCAACTGTTTGCAGAAAGCAGGCCAAAACCTAGAAACAAATTGGGTACCTCTGTCGGAAACTATGTTTTACGGTACCCATGTAACCAAAAGATTTCACGCAAGAATATTTAGACAAGATTTTGAGAAGATGTAAATTTCTTAAGAGGTATAAAATGCGCCATCTTTGAGAATCTATCCACAACCATAAGGATAGTGTTATACCCATTTGAATTGGGGAGATTCACAATGAAGTCCATGGCTAGATGGGTCCATGGAGTGTCTGGTATCAGAAGTGGCTGTAACAACCCAGGAGGAGATTTATAAGGGGCTTTATATTCGACATGCCCCTTTGTAATCCTTGACATCGCCCCTAAGCGTCAGCCACCAAGATTTCCTAGAAATGGCAGAGAGGGTTTTATGTATCCCAGGAAGTCCGGCTGGCAAGTTATCATGAAATAACCCAAGCACTTTAGTCCTTAATAATGGCGCAACTAATAGTTTGTCCGGTGGTCTCTCCATGGGTGCATGAGTTTGATCTGCTATTATGGCACATAAAAGTGGAGAAGACACTTCGGAAACCATTGTAGCAACAAGACACTCGGGAGGTGCAATCAGGAATACCTCTTGCTCGGGAACCTCATCAGTTTCAAACTGTCTAGACAGCGCATCTGCCTTTGTGTTCTTGGTACCAGGTCTGTACATAATAACAAAATTGAAACGGGAGAGGAATAGTGACCATCTATCCTGTCTGGAGGACAATCTCTTAGCATCCCCGATATAAGCCAAGTTCTTGTGATCGGTAAAAATCAAAAGTGGCTCTTTGAAACCTTCTAAGAGATGCCTCCATTCTTTGAGAGAGAGAACAATGGCCAGTAGCTCCCTATTCCCGATGTCATCGTTTTTCTTAGCAGGAGTCAGTTTTCTAGAGAAAAACCCATAGGGATATAAAGGTGCACCAGGACAGAATGGCTCCTACTCCTGTCTGACGCATCCACTTCCAAAATAAAAGGTTTAGCAGGATCATGGTGTGTTAAAACAGGTGCTGAAGCAAATAAAGATTTTAATTTCTCAGACGCCTCTTTTGTCTCCTTGGGCCAGTTAGCTCCTTGTCAAGTAGGGTTGGTGATAGGAGCTATCACGGATGAGAAACTTTTAATGAATCTGCGGTATTAGTTTGCAAATCCAATAAAGCGTTGTATAGCTTTGAGACATTTGGGTAACGGCCATTGCAATACTGCCTCCAGTTTGCGTGGGTCCATCTTGAAGCCAGAAGGGGATATTACATACCCAAGGAATTGTATTTCAGTCTGGTCAAACTGGCACTTTTCTAGCTTGCAATATAAGCCATTCTCCAGCAGGGTTTTTAACATGGTTTTCACATGTTCGTGTTGAGTACGTAGGTCTGGGGAATAGATGAGAATATCATCTAGGTACAGCAGCACGAACATGTGGAGGTATTCTCTGAGGACATCGTTTATAAAGTCTTGGAATACCTCTGGGGCATTGCACAAAACAAACGGCATGACCAGGTACTCATAATGTCACATTCTGGTATTGAACAGTTTTCCACTCGTGTCCCTCCTTAATTCTGACTAAGTTGTATGCGCTCATTAGGTCGAGTTTGGTAAATACTCTGGCACCTTTGAGCCTGTCGAATAGTTCAGAAATAAGGGGGATTGGGTAGGCATTCTTAATTGTTATTTTATTAAGGCCCCTATAGTCGATGCAAGGATGTAGGTCTCCTTCTTTTTTAGAGACGAAGAAGAACCCAGCCCCAGCAGGTGAAGAGGATCTCTGTATGTAGCCATTCCTTAGAGCATCTTTTATATACTCCTCCAAGCAGAGAGTTTCTTGAGGAGACAACGCATAGACTCTCCCTTTCGGAGGCATAGTGCCTGGTAGCAGATTAATGGCACAGTCATAGGGTCTATGCTGTGGTAATATCTCTGACTGAACCTTATTGAAAACTTCTTTTACCTCCAAATACTGCGGTGGAATTTCTGTGGTTAAAGGAGAGGCAGTAGGGACATTGATGGTACCAACACGTTGTGGCATATGGTGTTTACAATGACTCTTGCAATTCTCTCCCCAAACCACAATCTCTCCTTTAATCCAATCTAGGGGTGGATTGTGTTTCTGGAGCCAAGGTAAACCGAGTATCACAGGACATGAAGGGGAAGAAATAATCTGAAAAACCAATTCCTCAGAATGTAAGATGCCTACCCAGACAGTGATGGGTAATGTTTCCTGAGTGATGAGAGGTTGGGTAAGAGGTCTTCCATCAATGGCCTCAACTGCAATGGGTCTATCTTTCTGCCTTAATGGCAGGAGATGTTTAGCAGAGAATTCTCTATCAAGGAAATTCTCCGCTGCCCCAGAGTTGTTCATGGCCTCACACTGAATAGTAGTTTTCTTACAGTTCAGAGTAATTTTCACAAGGCAACGGTTCTTAGTCAATTTGGGGGACATATACATCACACCTAAGGTCGGTCCCCGAACGTGACTTATGTGCGCATGTTTTCCGGCCGAGCCGGACACGAGGCCCTTAGATTTCCCTTCCTCCCACAATAAAGACACAACCCCTCGTTTCGTCTGTACTGTCTCTCTGCCTCAGTAAGCTTAGTTATGCCCAACTGAATGGACTGGGTTGGAAAAACGAGGGGCTATAGATAGGTTGGCACGTATTGTGCGTTGTTTGTTCCTCTCTCTCTCCCTCAATCTATTATCAATGTCAATCATGTAGGCTATGTGATCATTAAGATTGACAGGAAGGTCTCTAGCAGCAGTCTCATCCTGTATATTCTCAGCCAAACCTTCAGAAAAGGCAGGCACCAGACCACTGTTAGTCCAGTTTACCTCAGAGGCTAACATTCTAAATTCTATAGCATAGGCAGTTACGGAACGACTATTTATATTCATATTATTTTAATTCATTGTTTTGTTCTAAACACATCATATATTCTCTAGACTGGTTTTCAAATAAATTTCATTATGTCTTGGCATTGGCAGTTTGTTTGTTTAATTGTATTCTCACCCAAAAATAAAATATTTTATCAAATTATCCACATATACATAATACTTATAGCTACTCTATATGCAATAATGTACTCATGATTGCAAACCAACCACACTTAAATCCATACGTTTCTATATATGTTGTTTCACAATGTATATGTTTTTGTAAATATGTTTATTATTCTTCTTTAAATGTTTGTGTCAGTTGCTAACATACAAAAAAGTGATTGTATCACTAATAACGTATTTATTATGAACCACTTTGCTTTGTATTAACAGTGCATTTGCGTTTGACTGTCAAAGGATCTTAAAACTGTCACAGTTTATTGTTTTAAGTAATACTCATGAAAATCACATTTCATTGTAGGTAAATAAAAAAAATCTACAATCTACCTCATAAAGAATGTGTTACTTACTGTGTATTGACTTTAGAATGCAATTCATAAGATAGCCGTGGACACATTGTAAAAAAAATGATGACATCACAAGGGATAGTAACATATGACTCAATCAATAATATATCAAAACTGTAAAGTTCTAGGCTACTAACTCTCAAATACTGGCAAGGAGACAGTAAACCTTTGAGGATCAATGAAAACAATATTGTATCACTACTTGGACTCTAAACAGATCTATATATATTTCTTTACTCTATCAGTAGAAATAGAACATTGGTTATCTGTGATTACACAAATGTGTGAAAGAAAGAATTGTTATGATTGTCTCCCCATATGACACCTTAATAGAATGTTTATGTTAAATTTAATTTATATGACTTGTTAATGTGAATTACATTTGCACTAAAAAGACATGTAACGAGTATTTTCCAACTTGCATGTGTGTGGTGTTTAATGCCACAAATCTTTGCTTATCTTCTTCAAATTGATCATGATAAAATAAGACTGTGTTTTCATATTTTCTAAAATAAATGTATTATGTAGCCCAGAAATACAAGAAGTAATTTATTACATATAAGGATCTCTGCAGATTTTAATAACAGTGATTTGTAGCTTGCAAAAGCAAACCTGGGCAGAAGCTACCTGAACAATAGTCTTTCAATCTTCATTATAATTTTGTGTCATCGAGAGATGCTTGGATGTTTTTATTTTATTTTTTATAAAATACTGATCATAAAGGAAAAAGAAGAAATGCAATTGCAATACAAACAAGTAGGGGTGCAACAAATATTTGCATATTCTCTTTTAAGAAAGCCTATAGTAAGAAGAAAATATAGATCTTTTTGTATTTTACATACATGTAAGGCAATTACATGTAGCCCAGGAAATATAATAAAGGGAATAATACGTATTGAGGATCTCTGCTGATTTCAGTAATAGTTTATTTGTTGCTGAGCAAAAGCAAAATACATAGAAGCTTTCAGAAAATATTCTTTCATCAGTTCTCTCTTCGAAATACTTTTTTTTTGTCATCTAGAGATCTTTAGACTGTATAGTTCTTAAATATTGATTATGCCTGTCACCCTCTAACTCTCGATAATAATTCAAATCTTTAAAAAGTACTAAGAGAATGATACACTATATTATAGAAATATAACCAAGAGGGAAACATAATTCCTAGAATAGAACATTCATACATATAGATCAATGTGCATTTTAGCATCCATATAAATTAGAAAATTACACTATAGTACTATATGTTTATCATAATAGCAAAGCTGTATAACATCTTATATTATTTGTAAAATATTTTAATGTTGGGTTACAAATTGTCTGATATATGAGATTCCCATGTGCATTGATTATTGTTCCAATGAACAAGTATAGTTAGGTGAACTGTGCCTGTTTACCGTGAATTAAATTGGTAATGAAATCAGCTCACAGAAAAGGCCAATTATTATGATTGTATAACTTGCCTTTTTTTCTTTTTACATGGACTTTTTGCATAGTAAGAAAGCTGCATCTTATGGTAAACATAAATTTTGTAATCACTAATTTAAAGGATCCTTCTATTCGTGCAGTGCTGATCCTTGTAGCTTCTCCCGAAATCCAGCTGAAACAAAGTGATTATAGCTTCCAATCCCCCAAACATGAGTCGAGACTTCATGAAGGGGTAAAACGATCTGATTTATTGGGGGCTACCTGCCCGGTATTTATGCAGGTCTCCCACCTGGTGGACACTCCCCTAGGGGACCAGATGGAAGACTGGGACACAAGAATTACAGTAGCCAATCGCAGTGGCTCTAACATAAGCACTCCCCTTTTACATAAGTTAATTATCTCCAGGATAGAAAGGAGGGAGTTACTTAAGTTAGTAAAAGGAACCTTAATTATCTCCAGGTAGAGAAAAACATGGCTTTTCATATATTCACCAAACAGAATAAAAATCTATAACTTATATTTTATTGCACTGAAACTTTAAGTCTCACATACCCCCAGATAGCTTGGATCTGAGTGCATATTTTAGGCGAATAGCGCTCAGATCCCACGAACACAGTTCTCAATATCGTCGAATGAAGTTTGGACTTCACCGGCGGTTCGCGTGTTCATATCCGACAAAGAGTTCCACAACTGTAGCTATCTGGGGTCGGTCTATTTCGCATAAAATAAGTCCCGAACGGTGAAATGTTCCCGGCATTCGTGTGTTTCCAGCCGTATGAACAAGGACCTTGGTAGGCATCAGCGGTGTTCAGCAGAATAAGTGTCCGAAAAAGAGTTCCAGGGCATCGTCGCCATTTATCACCGAGCGTTCGACAATTTAAAATGGCGACTGCCACGTGTTTGACAGACGAACGTGGACCACCAAGCTGTTCCCCAATTACTCTGTGGTTAACTGCAAAGTCTGGGTGGTTAATGGGCGCCACATGACCTCAGTAGGAGGTCGGGTGTTTCGGCAGTTTATTCGTTTTATTGGTATTTGCAGGAAATCACCCCGCACACGCATAAATAACCGAACAGGCTGTTTCACATAGTCTGGTTAATAGGGAATTTCGTTACAATTAATATTATATAAATGATACAAGAGTACCCTAAAAATATTGTATTTTTTTTCCAAAATTATCAACTGCTAGCTATTCTATATTTTTGCTCTGTTTTAATTTTTTTATTTATTTATTCTTTTTTTTGTGCAAAATTAACTTTGTGGGATATTTAAACATTTTATCATGATATTCTGTATAAAACAAATTGTGCTTACAATTTCAATAAATGCAAAATGAATTTAGTAGGAAAAAACTTAGTTTGTGATACCCACAAAGCACACAGCCGCAAGAAGAGACCTTTGTAAATAGGATAAGGGAGTAAATGTTATTGTTAAGTTATTTTGATAGCAATTAAGTAAGTTCCATAATATTGGTTTTTTTAACTAATCATTCCTTTTAGTGTTGATTTGTTTATTTTTAATTATTTTACATACATCATATCTGCCTCTCAGATACCATTAAACTTTAAGTAAAACTTTGAACCCAATTTTCAATTAAAAAGTCAGCAGAAAAAAAAATATTGGGCAGGTTTAATCTAGCTTAAACATTTCTAATTAACCTTGTTAAAGTGACTTGAATACCTTTGGTGTACAAGAGATGAGAATCAGAGAAACAAAGTCAGTTTGCTGTATAAACTGTCGACAAACATACAGAGAAATACCTAGATTAGTGTAGATCCCTGGGACCCCACCTTAATGCAAGACATACACACACAACAGTGTGATTTCAAATAATAAACATAATGAAGTACCTACCGCTACCCTATCCTGTGGGATGGAGTAGGCTTTTGAAAATGTAATGGTCTCCAGACTCTGTTAAAGAGTGAGAACCCTGGACAGTGATCAGCATATATTCCCTGCCACTATTTAATAAGTTATAATATGGATGGTTAAATAAACCATCTAGTGGTTTTAGTGCATGAATGCAGCCACCTTTCTCTTATAACTGTAAGCATACCTATTTCTGAGAGATGGCAACATTTACATTCTATGGGAATACACCTGTCATATTGACAGCTACAAGAGACATATGTTCATTGAGATATGTTAAAAATTGAATAATGACAATAAACACTGTCAATGCTTCTGATAGGAAGCTTTGGATTAAATGTTTCTCTATGAGGAGCAACCAACTGACAGACACTGATGCAAATGTAGCGTAGGTCCCCAATGCTTTCAATCAAACAAAAGTGATCAAAAAAATCTGACTTTACCAGAGACCAAGTAGCCGCTCTGAGAAAACTAATGCAGGTTGGGATTTCAGGTAGGTTTTATGGTGATTTTTCATTTCTTTAATGTATAAAGTGGGCCAACAACAGACAAATGAATACTGTTAATAAATACATATCTATTGAGGTATGTGCGCACTAGAAAAATTTAGTTTGGCTAAAAAAAAAAAAGTACCTCTAATGTAAACACATTGTGTTATAAGATCTGATTTAAAATTAAACTATTTTTAATGCATGATCTATGAGTCCCAGCTGTGAGTATGTGGCTAGAACTGCGTAAACAAACACAGAAGTGATTGAGATCCGAAATGCTGTAGAATTGAGCAGCAAGACTGCAAGGACATGATCTATACACCAACACTGGTTCATTAAGCTAAAGTTATTTTGGTGCCTAGATCAGTAGATTAGGGTAGTAAAGCAAACATTAACTAATCGTTCATTTTTAGTTATAGTGTAGTTATAGTGCACTCTTTAATATAGAACATATTGCAATATAAATAAAAATGTGTAGCATGTCATTTATACTTACTTATGAACAAAATGTTACACTTTACAGGCA